AGTTCTGTTTGGGACTCAATCATTTATCACACCACTGATAGCTTATGGTCTTTCTTCAAGTTTCTTTCTACGCATTACTAATCATCGTTCAATCTCAAATTTGTGGTAGAGATTTCAGTATTAGAAATATCAGCGAGTATCTTGAGGTAGAGCAAAAAGGGAAGAAAGATATAACACCAAATCTTAGTTCATCTTGCAAAACAGGATAAATTGCCAAGTAGAATATATTATACTGAGTTATTTGATAGCTAATGGAAGTACAGCATAAATGACCACACCTAACTAATTTGAAGTAATTTTAACTGAACCTGTGCCCCCACTGCACGGTGCTTTTCTTTCTGTTTTCAATGTCTTTTTTCCCTCAACACCTTGAAAGGGTCAAGCTTATTTGTAGGTGAAGTCAACCACATCACAGACTATCATGAGCACTATGATATCAAACCACAACAGAGGCATGAGGGAAAGATGTTTGCAAACACTCTTAAAAATCTGCCAGTTTGGTTGCAGCTATTGCATGTAATTCAGTTTCTCTGATCTTTCAACATCTGCTAGAGAACATATAAAGAAAATGGGACCCTCTTAGAACTGGCTGCATGCCTACAAGGAGTTACAGAGAGGACCACCTATATTGGGAGCAGCACAGGAATGAGGCTGTTGATGAAAGTAGTTTTGGTTAAGCAAAAACCGGAGCTAAAGGTAGCAAGAAATTATGGGAATTATAGGGGGCAGAAGAAAAAGTTATCCAGACTCAGTAGAAAAACACAATCCAGAGAATCCAAGAAAAAAAGAAATGTGTTTCTGAGAATAAAATATGCACAAGTTGATATTAACCTCTGTACTATGCCAAAATGGAGAATTGTGTCTAGGTATCAGCATACGGCATGCAAGACATACTTTTTGTTTCTTTCCTTAGTCCTCCCCACCTTTCCTTCCTCAAAAGATCCAGTATGTATTCATGAATGTTTTGCAAAGGAAAAGCAGCGGAGCATCAGAAGATACATTTTTTCTAATGATTGAATTTGAAAGCCTTTCAATATCCCAAAATTAAATATGCACAATACAAAAAGCATACTATTGGTTAAACTGGAAAGATAAAAGGAATAAATAACATCCATTAAAGGTCCAGGTTATGCTATGGAAAGACATTCAGCACACAGATCTAGCATTTATACATGAAAATCCAATTGACACAATAGGCTATAACCATTCCAAAGAACCTACTATGGCCCATCATGTAAACAATTACACATAATGACACAGACATTATGGTCTGTAGGGCTCTGGATCAGTGGATTAAAATTTCTCTGGGTAGAACAGACTTTGAGTAAATAGGCTCAAAGAGCTGTTACAATAAAATACATCAAGACTTTAGTAACTCCCAACTATGCATTAATGCAATAACACAAGTTGAATTGTTAAATTTTGGAAAATTTCCATTCCCTACAGTGCAGTAGCCAGTATTAAGTCAGTATTCTTCAATATGTACGATATAGATATCACTGTTCTTCACAGTTTCAAGTTACAGAATAAGCTGTTTCAGATGTCAGTTACAGATAACTCTTCGAGGGTAGATTTCCTTTCTCAGAATTATAGAATCATAGGATTATTTAGGTTGGAAATGACCTTTAAGATAATTGAATCCAACCACTTACATATAAGCACTACAGTAAGGATGCAATATTGAGAAGCTCATGCATTCTTTATATGAATTTAATTTTTATTTAAAATGTCTGTTTCTATAAATAGGTTAAAAATGCTATACAACTCTTGGAAAAGATCAACTAAATGAAAGAAGGTGCCCAGTACAAAGTGACTAAAGAATAACCGAAATAATATGTCTGATATTGCATTTATAGGAGAGCAACCAGCTTAAGGAAGGGCAGACACACACTTGGACTCAGTGGGAAAAGAGGCAGGTTCACAGCAAATGAGCAATAGCACTGAACCTGCAATCCAAATCTAGTTCTTTTCTTCAGGTCTTGGGGAACGAATGCCCTATGTTGTTCAAGAGCATAAACACCGGCTGACAAGGGCTTAAAATAATGGAGACAGTTACAAGGACATGCTTCAAGATGCATCTCAAGTGTAAGGCGCTTTCATGTGTGCCAATTATGTTTAAAGTCTTATAGAGGTCAGATGAGAAACCTCTCACTATTGCTGGTTGGGGTGGTTTGCTTACAGCACCCAGCTGAGCGGACAAAATGCCTATGAAGCGTGTGGTCCTAACGAGATAGCAGCCTTAGGGTATCTCATCTAAGCGTCTAAACTCCTTATGCAGTTAATGAAGAGTGAGGTAAATGCTTTCAAGGAATTCAAGAACAACAGTGATAGCTGCATACAGATGATGTAATTGCTATATCAGGTCTCTATGCATAAAATCCTGCCTGTATCCTTATTTGAATATCTCACTGTGACATCACCTTCTGATTCAAATGAAGCGCATTGCCACATCATAGAGCTTGACCAACAGTGGATCTCGTGCTTTTTTTGGAGCTCAGTTGCTGTAGCGCGACGAAAAGTTGAAAGGATCAATGAACTTCCTTCCAAGTATCTGACAGAGGAATGAGTGAAGATGGGCACCCCTATTCGATCTGGCCATGCTGCTCAAACTGCTGTTACCTGCCTTGCCACAGCAGAAAAGAAGAATGCTGCTTGTGTTGGTTCTTATTTACCAGTGAGCAGAACTGCAGCTCCCATGTCCTTATGAAGACTACAAACCCTGCCAGTGCTGCCACCACTCACGTGCAGAGCACCCAAATTGCTGGTGGTGCTGCTGCTCTTATTCGAGTGACCCAGACTGCAAATGCTGCTACTGCAGTGGAGAGAATTCAGCGTGTCAGTATTATGAAAGCAGGTGCTGCAGAAGCTCTGACAACGAACTACATCACTCAAGACCACCAGGAACTGTTCAGTGAGTGGAGTTAAGGGCTCTTAATTTCTTATGGTTTTGTTTTTCTAATTTACATTACGCCTTACTGGATGTGTTGCATTTAGAAATATATGATCTGTTGGCTTGTTGGAGCTATATTGAATAACCACAGGATATCGTTCTTCTCAGAAACAGAAAAAGTAGTTTTATCTTGATATTAGCGAAATCTTATATTCATTATTCTGACTGGGGCTAAGACTCCAGAACATCACTGCACTTGTTACTAGGACCACCTGATTTCCAGATAAAATCCATGAATTACTAACATATGCACAGTGTAAAAACCTATATAGCGACAAGAATGAAGACAGAGAACCTTAAATCAAGGAGGAAAACAGGAATGTGTTTGTAGCAAGGGGGCTGGAGGCAAGGACACAGGGAAAACTGGAGTCAAACAAAGAGCATCACTAACAACATGGATGCTAAAGAGAAGCACAGCAGAAGGCCAGACCGTAGAAGCCTGGAACTAGGTATCCATCTTGAATAATGATGCTCATGTCCAGGCTATGGAAAATACTCAAGGAGGCATTAAAAAATTAATATTGTCTTTTTAAAAGGAAAATGTCCACAAGCTAAGAGGAAGGTTAGGACTACCAAGATTTGAAGAGAACAGGGATTAGCACATCCTGAAAATCAGTTAACTTCTAAAATATAAATAATAATCTCCATTTTAAAGTCTTTTCAATTAATATAATGATTAAATGATAAGGCTGCTGCTAACACTAAGAATAAACTTCATTCATTCTAGAAATCAGAAATAATTCAGAGTTGAGTGATTTCTTAAATGACTAAAAATTAGGATGATCATATGTAAATGTGTGCTATTATGTTAAGCAGAGATGTCTTCAATATTTTTTTTGAAATGATGAAACACTTTGTTGTGCTACTTTCTTGAGGAAATATTCCATTTTGAAAATGCAGAAGAAAAATATTTTGACATTTATTGGCCTAAGTTTTCATTAAAAATAAATTATTTTATAAACATTATCAAAGTTGTTGTAAAAGAAAATATGAAACAAAATAAAGGTTTTCATTTCAATTGCATAAAATGCTTTTCTTCACTCTAGTTATTCATTGTTTCCATTTTGAAAAAAAATCAAACAAGAAAAGGGGACAAAATACATTCCATTTTGTACTAAACCAAACTGTATTCTTCTTTTCATTTGGCCATCAGCAATAACTCAACAAATTCATACAGACCTACAATGACTGAGATGTCTGTTTATTGTTATTGTTGGCAACAGTATTCAAAATATAGCGAAATAACTACAAAAAGGAAAAGAAAAAGAATGGATTCTTGATAGTGATAATCCAATTGTTTAAATAAAATACTCAGAATAAAAGAGTAGTAGATATGCCAAGCAGAACTGTTATTGTTATAATTTTGTGTCTAAGATGTCCTAATACTCAGATATTTTTATTTGAGTTCTTGGGGTTTTGTTTTGTTTTCTTTGTTGGTTTGGGGTTTTTTTTCCAATTCTGTTTAGGTCAAAAGGCGCCATGTCAAGGTTTAGAACTAGGAATAATGCATCTGTCATTACACCAGAAAGGAATGTCTCCAGCAACGGTTTCCATGACCAGCTTGCCTGTCCACCATGTAAGCAATTGTTTCTCCAACCATTTATGCTGCCGCGCAATCACTGCATTTGTGAGAAGTATGTATCTAAAAGCAAGACCAAAGAAGCTGAAGCAACTGAAGACTTTCATATCATCATACGCCCAGCGCGTAGCAAAGCACATTGCCTCCCCCACACAAGTAAAATTCAGCTGAGGAAGAACTACCTCAAAGCAAAACTAGCCAAGAAACACATGTGCAGAGATGGCTTTCTGAGGTGGAGATTCAACCACAGCGAAAGATGGATCTACTGTGAACTTGCAGGGAGAGAAGAGTGGCAACCAAAAGACGTAGAACATGTGAAATTAATTACTGTAATGAATGTCTCCATTTAAATCATAGCAAGAGCAGTGCTCAAGACCACATTTTCACCAAAGCATGTCAAGAAGATCGTGAACAGTGGCGCTGCTTACTGCACACCAACTCAAAACTCTCCGAATACCGTCTGGATGACCACGACCTGATCTGTGGGTTCTGCAAGAACTCTCTGCACAGTGATCATGAGACTATTCTCTTGGCAGTAGCATATTCAAGAGCGGCTGCTTCTCTCTGACATGATTGCGAAATTTAGAAAAGGTTTGTATTTCTGCAGCTTCTCACATTTCCCTACGCCTCCTTGGGAAAGAAACTTGAACATATGTTTGACAAGCTATGTTAATTCTCTGCACAGCATGGAAATCAGAAAGGTGATGTGTTCCCCCTGTCAAAACACAAAAGGAACAAGCCCGTAATAGCGGCATCGTAAGCCAGGCTCAACCATTGGAGAATGAAGAACCTGTATGTGGGACGGGAACAGTAAGTGCATCTAGAGAGGGGAATTTTCACTTCATACAGCAGGACCTAGCATGGAATGAACATCAATTACATCTGCAGAACAAAATGGTGACTATTTTATAATCAGAAATACATACTTGAAGAGTATGTATGTATACTCTGCAGCCACGTTACGAATTGTCCCTCTTCGGTCAGTTTTATGGGCATGCCCGTGCTGGCTAAGAGGCAAAGTGGTCACCTTTTTCTGAGGTAACAGAGCAATGTCACTCCTTTTAACTAAGACTTGATTCACAGCAACTAAGGGGCTGAAAAAAGACTAGGATTTTATGAATTTCTTTTAATTTTGATCTTTGCATATAAATTCACAAATTTTGGGAATATAACAAAGTTTCAATAAAAAAAAAACATTCAGAAAGGTAAAAGTAAACCATCTACAATAAGAAACCCCTGGAAGCATTAAATTCTCAATTTTGAAGCAACCTTAAGTTTGAGAAAATAAGTGATGTAGAATATTTGTTTAGCATTTTGTAATGTGACATTGTTTCCTGATGCTAGCTGAATGCAATTGGAATTTACTATCAGCCTTTGGTATTTTTGATTCTGTTCCTTCACAGTTCACAATTTTTAGCATCAGAAGAGTTAATCACACCTTCACATCAAGGGAATGTTCAGATATAATGTGGGCTATGCAGGTTCATGTGCTGTCATTATTTGAACTTCATACTGGCATAGTGAATTTTCAAAGGTAACACAGAGCTACAATAAATTAAGCTTCAGGATTTCCGATGTAACGAAGTAAAAATTATCAAGCCCATTTTAGGGGAGACAAATACGAGTATGTGAGAAAATAATAATAAAGAAGCAATTAACTGTCAAATGTTATACACCCAAATGTGAATGTTTTACCACAAACAGCTTTCCTCAGGCCTTATCAGCAGCAGAGATGAGAGAAATATACCAAAATTCCTATTCTTGTCCCACATTCTACCAAATCTGAAATTTTTTTTAAGCTAAAATCTGTCATTCTACCTCTGGTAACCATTACATTTTGATATGAATTTGGAACTACTGATCTGATTTATTTTTTTTTACAGCACACCAAAGAGTTGATAACAATCTAATGGAAGTTATCTTGTCAAAAAATAATTGCAAGACCTATAAGGACACCAAAAGGAAGGAGATCAGGAATGGATTCTTAAAATGACGTACGGTTCTTCAAACAAAGAACAACAAAAGGAGATGATGGAGTTGCTTGAAAACATTGACCTTAAAAAACAGAAAGAAATTTCAGAATATACAAACTATACCATCCAGTCAGCTATCATATATGGATGGTCTTATCCAATACTCTAAAGAGGCTCTTAAGGAGGAAAGTCAGGTTGTGTTTCTGCAGTCTGCACACTGCTTAGTGAAAAAACAGAAAACACAGTTCCTTCCATTTTCCAACCTAGTCCACATCTAAGAGAAGATCCCTTAAGAAAACTTTAACTCAACTTTGATGAACTTTTCTCCATTTTACAGGGACTTGTCCCATCCCTTAGTGAAATAAAGCAGTCAGAAAGTAAAGCAGAAAGATATCCCTATTCTTTCAACCCAGAGATAATGATTCCAAGGCATGTTTCAAGTGCTCACAGATCCAAGCGAGCAACATTGTTCCGAAGCCCATCTTTAAATTCTGTTTGATTTAGGTGTGCTGTCTAAAGTCACTGTCAGAAGACCAGGCTCTACACCTCCCCATCATCCTACATGGAGTAATGAAGTATGTGTGTACTGGGATACAGCTTGTGAAACTCCAAGAAAAGAAAGAAAATATTTGATTGTCAACTTTTCAAGTCCAGAACCTGTAGAACATGAATTAGCCCCAGTCTCAGGACCTGTTGTTATATACCAGACTGTTGTTTACTTAAGGTCTGCCAAAGTAAGACAATAATAAATTCTGAATACGTACAAAAGACCATTATATTTTGGCTGTTATAGAGTCTGAACTCACACAAGTTTGAGAAAATAAGGCTACAGTATCTATTCAAATACTTCATTTATAAGATATAATGCATTTCAAAATCACCTTTTGAGATAAACCGAAGCATAAATTGAATCATATCACACTCCTGCTGCAGTCAATAGGGTTATTATATTATTATATATGTGATATAAATATTTTACATGGAAAGATCTAATGCAGAAAGAAATAAATGTACCATGTTTCTGTTTAAATACCTGTACGTCAGATCAAATAATTCGATCCTGGTCTTGGCCTTCAATGTGACATCATCATATCCCTGTAATTTTCCTCATTATACATTTCATAGATGCCAACAAGATCAGGATGACAGTTGCATGAGATCCCAAGTGCATATTGCAAAGTGCTGACTGCTGTCAGCCTGCATTACTTTTAGTGTGTTAGAAGAGGCTACTATGAAATTCCCAGGAGGAAGCTGAGCATTTTCCAAGACCAGATATATCTTCCCCATATATTTCATGCTATGGTTAGAATTTCAGTTGCATTGGCATTTCAAAATTAAAATCTGCCAAAGAGAAGCCTTCAAAAAAAGCAAAAATAAAAATAAGAAAAAAAAAAGTACTTAATTGTGTACTACAGATTTTTTTTTCTCCTCACACATTTACTGGACTTGTCCCACAGAAGATGTGGATTTCTTTGGGGCAGAGTTTTACAAAGTTGCTGGTCTTGGTCCTGATACCATTGTTCAGACACAACTAGCTGGCCAGCTGTTATCACAGAAACAGTGATAATTCTAATGGTAGTTTTGTTGTTTTTTAACTTTTCACCACACTCTTGTCAATTAAACCTTTGAAAGGACATTTCTCAAAATTACCTTGGATGCCAAATGCAAAATGACTTTTAATAGGAGGTGGGCTTCTAAATCCTATGGTCATATCTGAAAGTCTCTCCCAAAATGACCCGCTGCCAGAACCTAACGGCTATATACTGTATTAATCACTGCAACGTTTGCCACCAGACAATTGCTTTTCTTCAACGTAGGTGTTTTTAAAGAGCTCAATTTCCATTTTGCTCCCAAAATAAGTACTTAAGACTTTCCAAAATTTAGCATAGATAAGACAGTTTGACTGCTTTGAAAATACATCTGTAAGTGGTAAATTCTTTTGAATATAGACACTAATTAAATCCTATTCCCAAAATGATAAACATATATACCTCTTCTGTACTTTAATACATTCTGCTTTTCTACTTGCAGGTAATCACTTCAGATGAAGACAGGAAAATTGAAGACAAGTGGGAGAAGCAGAAAAGTATTCAGGATGCTCTGCATACATCAAATAGATAGACAAAGAATGAAAGCAGGGATTCTTTGGTTTTTCTTGAAGAACTGGAAAACATGTATGCTTTCTTATGCAATATCTCATTTTTCACTGAAGCCAGAGATCTAACAGCGAGCTCTTCAGACTATTATTGCTTTCTGGCAAATAATAATAAAACACCCCTGCCTTTTCAATATCTTTTCTTTTTCCAGATGTAGCACCAAGACCTAAGGAAAATACTATGCCATGCACAAAACTATAGTATAAAACCCATTATTCTTGAGGGACCTTTGCAGCTTCAAAGGAAACAAATGACATATTTGCATTGTGAGTTAAAATTCTAATTACTATTCCCTATGAGACTATCCAATACCAGTTCATAAAGAGCTGCAGAATCCTGTATCACACTTTGCATATTCTTAAAGAGTAGAATAAGTTACTCTGTACATACACACTTTTGGTCTCAGCCTCCCTCAGCTGAAGTATAACGCGCATACACACATAGAAGGACACTGGCAACAGGCAGAACAAGAAGTACAAGACTGAGGGGAGACAAAACTATCTCCTTATGCACTTACTTAATAATGGTTAGGTTTACATGACTGTTGTGAAGGTCATCAAGATGAGTTACAGTTTGTTAAAAGTGGCTGCGAATAAAATCAGGAGAAGTCACAGCAGCTGTGATCCACTGAACAGGATCACGGGATTAGATCCACAGGAAGTTACTGTGTTGAAATAATCAAGAGTAATAACTAACGGCCTTCTCTGTGCAGGGATAATCTTGCACAGTTCCTTTCTTTCACTTCAGCCATACCAGCCAGGTTTGCATATCTAGCTATAGACCTATATTTATGCAGACACACACATATATTTACTTATTCACCTCTCTCACCGTATGTGCTCGCACACACACACATATACATGCATTTAAACTTATTCACAACTCCCTTTGCCCCAGTCCTATCAATTATGGCGTTTACATGGTAGCAGAATAGAGTGCTACTAGCTCTTTTAACCCCCTTCTGTGCTTTTGTATGTTTGTGTCTTATCTTCAGCATAGAACAAATCTCTTCATGGAAAATCATGTATTATGAATACCGCCCATGAAATCTTGGACCTCCTGCTACCTTCCTTAAGGCAAACAATAAAACTTAGGTATATTTATTATTAATATTCATTTTGCCATTGCACCTTTCATTTCTGAAGCTCTGCTTTAGCTTCTCATAGTTGCTGCAAGGTAGTAATATTCTACTCACTTTATGGATGGCTAATGTGATAAAAGAAGAGTTCAAACAAAAAGGCAACAAAGTCAAAATCTGAACTCTGAGAGCAACTAATTCTCTGTCTTGTGCCATCCCGTGAGCTATTAGTGATGCTTCAGTTAGCATGGATGTTCTTGCCAGGATTGCTGGGCAGTCTTTCCTTGACGGCATACTTTTCTTTTAACAAAGTCTCTAGAGAAGCATAATAAAAAATACAAAAAAAATATAAAAGGCCATTAAAAGTAAAAGAGGTTTGCAATTTCAAACTTATTGAACAATTATAGCAGTGTGTAATTTTAAGAAGCTTATTCTGAAACATCTAAAAGGGGCCTGATCATGACACATGAAAGTCACCTGCAATCTAAAACTTGTGAGAGATTTTTGTGAAAATCTGAATGTCTGAGCTCTCCGGATAGTAAAGCCCAATTATTCCTTCTATAAACATGGCTTTTTACATCCCTTCCCCAGACAGCAACATTTTATGTGCATTTCAAGGCTATATGAGTTTTTGCTGATTATCTATAGTTCCCCAGAAGCTCACCTATCTGGTGTTCCCTTTAGTGAACTTCTCTGTGGATGGATAAGACTGTAGTTTGGATCAGCTGTAGAAAATCCCCTTTGCTCTCCCAGGCTAGCCATTGATAATAGCAGCCTTCTGTACCCAGTGGTTCTTGAGAGATGCAATTTGCAGTACACTGTTCTGTGCAACAGCCAAGCAAAGCTCTAATTCCCATTCCATGGAAACAGTGCTTCAGACCACTTGAACAGGGCAACATTTTATTATTATCACTAAGAGATTAGAATCAGTCCAACCCTGCAAGCGTTAAGAGTTTTATTAATTATTGTGGGGCCACTGGAAGCCTGTATTTCCTTTCAAACATCCCTACCTCGGCTTGCTTTGCTTTTTTCTCTAGGGTTACCTCTTTATTTTCATGGGAGGAAAAAAAAAGTGTTAAGTTCTTTGCATACAGTTCAGCGTCTGCCTGTTGTGAGCACAGCCAAATCCCATGATGGCTGAATGTCTATAGCCCAATTTACTGCACTCCTCCTTTCACTAAGCAGGCAAGGCAAAGAATGGAACAATTTTGCTTATCTACTGTTTGCTGCTCAGCTGCAGCAATGGGGTGGAGTGGCAGCACCATCTCTCACCCTGTACAGACATTTTTCAGCTGCATGCCCTGAAATTTAAATTTTGAGATGTTTATAAATAAATAAAAACCTGCCTGTATTTAATGTGGTGTGGTATTTGCATAATTACTTTTCAAGGTAATGAGCGTAACAGAGGCCAAAACACAGAAGGTTGAATATCTTCAGAGCAGCCTGTGCCAGCAAATAAATACAGAACTCTTGTAAGTATCAAATTGCAGAGCAGCTTAGAACCAGCATAATTTATTTAGGGAACAATAAATATCTATTTGTGCCGGGCAGGTGGCCAAGGTGAAAAAATGAAAGACGTATATGTAATTGAATAGTAGATGAGCCATCATTTCATTTCACCACCATTTGTGTCTCGTAATATCTGTAACCAACCCTGATGAACAAAATATTAAAAAATAAAGGTGACATCAGCCTAACACACAGAGATGTAGTCAGTGGCACCTCTGCCTTCCTGGATGGATCATAAATTAGCTGGCAGGTAGGAGATAGGTCAGAGATGCAATCGGTTAACCTATATTGACACAAATCAACTAACCAACCCACTCTGCATAGGAAACCCCAGAGATATATAGGCATCAACTATCAAGCCAAGGTATTACCAAGTTTTATCATCCACTTGCTTCGTAACCCATCAGGAATTAATTTGTATCAATATTATTCAAAGGTCTGTGGTATCTTCTTCAAGAATATTTCCAAGACCATTACAGAGCTTTGGAGAACCTGTCCAAAGAACCTGTCCACCTGTAAGACATTATTTCTACACAAGAAGTAGTGGTCTTTGGGGGCCTAAATAATTAACTGATACTTCTGATTGAAAATATTCCCAATGTTTTGTAATGTAACTACAGTTTGTAACATGATGAGACTCACATTGCACCTCAGTGCAATGTGTAAATGTGATTTGATAGCTGAACTGAAACCCAGTAATACACATCTACAGATGAGTATTATTTTAAGTAACAGCATTTTAAGCAAATAGAGGGGGCAATCAATATGTTAACAAATGTAAACACAGCTTGTTACAGCTGTTACGCTTTGGACTGTACAGCTGTGATTTATGCTGCTGAGAAATATATTCTAAAAGCTAGGAGGTTCTGCAATCATGATTAGGAGAGAAAACAAAAATTACAAAAATTATAAAAGAACTAATAATCACAATCATTTGAACCAAGTGCCATTTCCATCTTATAACCCCAACTTCACAACTTTTAGTCTCCCAAAATGCTTAAGTTAAAATCATCTGAATAACAGAGTTTGAAAAGATAAGTAGAACTCAAAAATATTTATGTAATAAAACAGACTAGATACTAACAAACAAACAAAAAAAAGGAAACACATGTCTATAAATGCAAAGATTTTGGTTACTTGCTCCTGCATGGCAGAAAATAGAATCAGAGGTGGAACAAAATTCAGGCTTAGGCATCTCTTTACCTGAAAGTTAATGGTAAACTGTTGATACTTAAAGACATAAATGAAATTACTGGAGATCTGAGAGGATTAATTTACATAGAAAAATCAAGTATGAGCTTGTTCTGTTGTGCTACTGAGAGCCTCAAGCTTTAACTAACATTATCAGGAATGTTAATGTATGTAAGAGAACGAAGTACTCAAATCCAGCTAAGTGACAGCAAAGGAGGAATAAAATAACAGCCTGCCTGAAAGGTGTAAACTTCTAAGTGGAAGAGGAATAACTTAACAGGTAGTATCATGTCACAACAGTGCTCAGAAATAACAAGTGGATTTGACCTTAGCAGTTGGTGTTTTACAAAATTTGAATCAACAGTGAATATGTTACATATTGCAAAGCTTTTTAAGGAACAAAACTGATTCCAATGTACAGAGCAGTATTAGAGAGAGCCCACAGGACAACGATCATCATTCGCATCCAGTAAGGTGTATTTCAGCTTAAGAGAGGGAGGATGACTTCTTCAAAAGCACACTTACTGGAGCATGCAGATCACAGCAAACATAACCTATGAACTTGGAAGCTCAAAACAGAAATGTCTTGTCCCGGCCAGTGACTCAAGAGAAGAGACCAGAGTAGTTTGA